TTGAATTTGTCTTAATTTTGTATTTTTTTGTGCTCAGAAACACACGGTTTGTGTGGCAGATGCTGGTGCTGCCAGGGACAAGGAGCAGATGCTCCATGATCAACCTCCTGCCTTAGGAGGGGGGATGGACTGTAGAATCATGAAGGTTGGAAGGGACCTCAAAGACCATCAAGTTCCAAGCCCCCTGACATAAGCAGGGAACCACTAGACCAGGTTGCACAAAACCTCCTCCAACCTGGCCTTAAAATCCTCCAGGGATGGGGCAATCATTTCCATCTTGTCAAGCCCCAGGGTGAGGCTATCCCTGCAGGTCCAGAACTCCTGCCCAAGCACCTCATGCTGTGAAGCACAAGGGAAGGAAAATAACCAATGGCTGTGAGAGGGGTTGCAGTATGTCCAATGAGTCCAACACCTGGTCTCCAGGATTGGGATGATGGACTTGGACTCTTGTTTCCTGCTGCATTCCCAGGGTTTGTAGCACACAGCTAAAACAAACCATGAAGAAGTCAAGCTGACCAAGCCTGGGATGGTCCCTGGGTTGTGCCAGCATCCCATTCTCCTGCCAGGGACCTGATGTCCCATCAGCTGAGCAGAGAAGAAGGAGTTGCAGTGCTGGGAACAGCCCTCCCAGTGGTTAACCTTAGCTAACCATCCCTGTGGGAAAGGAAGGCAGTTTTTCCAAACCATGCTGGTAGGTAGGAGATAGACAAGGTGCCGTTGAAGGTGATTCATCCCACCCTTGGGAGGTCCAGCGTAGGTGGGGTGAATCACACTCCAGCAGTAGCTGCCTCCCTCCAGAGCCAGGATGGCTTCAGAGGGAAGCTGGAAATCACGTTGCAGGTCAGAACACCCCAAATTAACCTGTCAACATGTAGGTGTCTCCATGTGCACAAGGTGTCTGTTACTTCACATCCAAGTGGCTGAATGACGTGGGGTGAGTCCCACCATTCATACATGGAACCTGTTTCCCAGGGTTTCTCACCTCTTTCAAAAACAACAGGGAAATTCTGCAACTCTTGAGTGGCAACAAGACTTACAGGGCCTGCCTTTGTGCTAGCTGTGTTCTTGGAATCACCAAATGGTAGGAAGGGACCTTTCAAAGCCACCCAGTCCAACCCCTGGCAGTGAGCAGGGACATCTGCACCTAGACCAGGTTGCTCAAAGCCCCATCCAACCTGAGCTGGGATGTTTCCAGGGATGGGGCATCTCCCACCATCTCTCTAGGCAACCTGGGTAAATGTCTCACCACCCTCATTGTAAAACATTTCTTATATCTAGACTAAATCTCCCCTCTTCCAGGTTAAACCCATCACCCCTTGTCCTATCACAACAGGCCCTGCCAAAAATGTTTGTCCCCATCTTTCTTCTAGACCCCTCTGAAGTATTGAAAGGCCACAATAAGGTCTCTCTGGAGCCTTCTCTTCTCCAGGTAGAGCAACCACAACTCTCTCAGCCTATCCTCACAGCAGATGTTTTCTAGTCCTCTGACCACCTTCGTGGTCTCCTCTAGACTCATTCCAACAGGTCCATGTCTTTCCTGTGCTGGATCACCTCCCCCAGCCTGCTGGCCGTGCTTCTTTGGATGCAGCCCTGTGATCATCAGTACCTGCTGCAGACAGGCCCTAAGAGCCATGGTGAGAAGATGGACAAGAACCCAAGGCACCATGAGGTGGGAGAGAGAGGCCTGTGTCCTTCCAGCCTGAAGCTTGGTGCTCCTCAGCCCCATCCTGGCTGGGGAAGGGGAGCAGAGCCCAGGGAAGGCACCTCCACGCTTAGCGAGGCTCCCACCTGGATACCTGTGGCCTGGAGTCACCATGCAACATGGAAATGGGAAGAAAGAGGGTTTGCTCTAGCCCTCCCTCCCAATCCCAAGACCTGATCTCCACCAGCACCCAGCTCCATCCAACCCCACCCAGCTCCATCCAACCCCACCCAGCTCCATCCAACCCAACGCAGCGCAAGGCGGGAAAATCAACCTTAACTCCTTAATCAGCATCAAAACACCAACAGCCCCCTCGGGCCTGAGCCTGTACCAACTAGATGCTTAATTAATGCTTAATTAACTTTGGCTTTCCACAGGGTGCCTTTGGAAAGCACCAAATTCATGTGCCCACCAACCACCCGTCGACCTGAGGCCACGGGGATGGCCACGGTGGCCCGAGGGGAGAGAATCTGCAGCAGCTTCACTTTCTCAGCGTGCCCACAGGGCAAGAGAACCAAGTCCTGATAATAATTTAAGAGTATCAATTAATACAGTTTAATAAATACATAAAAGGATTTAGTATCTTCTGTTTGTTTTTGTTTGTTTTTTTCTTTCCATCCACTTTTTAGCATCGACGAAAGTTAAGGGTGATTGTCCCGTGAGTAACTAAGGCAAATTTCTTGGTGTGTGTGTGTTTCTCCCTCCATTTTTTTTTTTGTCTTGATTAATTCTTTTGACCCCCGTTGTTTTGTACACAAAGCAATCACATAAAAATAGTTATAAATAGAAAAATTGCAAAGGTTTCCCCTCCCTCCCCCCGCCCCCCCCCCTTATC